TCCTGGTAGCACCTTACTTTTAAAATGAATTTGTGTAATTTATGAAAAGAAAGATAGATCGTCTGCCATTCGAGTCATGCACAATCTTTTGATACAGGTGACTATTAGAACACTACTATTAATTCATCCTTTCTGATCGATAGGTTCACAAGTCCGAGTCATGTTCCTTGATTATGCACATCTACCCGGAGTATATCATCTACCCTCTCCCCCTCCCCACCTCCCTGAACCCACTCCCTATCGCAAATCGCATCCTTTGCAGAGAAAACAGCATTGTCCTCCGGACCAAATTGGTAGTACGTGTGAAAGCAATCATCGGTGAGTGTTGACCTCAAGCACACATCTTCTCACTCCATTCTCACTTATTCTGCTCGCTTGCATTCATGTCCAATACTCAACTGTCTCTTACATTCACCCCACCGTCCCGAGGTCACCTGTTTACTTTGGAGCCGGAATTTTGAAAGGATGTAGCGTGTTTGTGTTTGCTTTTCTCTGTCCTTTTCGCATCTTGTTTGCTTTTGCTAATCAAATGTATCTGTTTCAAAAGGCCGTCGTATGTGCCGTTCGGACAGTTGTATTTACTGTTTAGTCCCCATTTGAGCTATTACATACTGGTACTTCAAATTGCTGGTATTGGATGAGTGAGTAGTAGCTGGTGGATTCTGTGCAGATTGGGTTGTGCTGACGATCATGTCTAATCATTTGACTAACTACAAATTCCTTGGAACTGTGATCCATCTGCTTAGTTGAGCGTGTTCGTAACTTCGACTTGCACTGACGGTTCCTGCCCCAAGTGTGGTTAGTTTGAAGTTAGATGTGAGTGGCTGCTTTTCTATTCTCGGGAATTCTGTCTGATCAGTGATGGTGGCGCATGATTGGTGGCGACTACACACAAAGCCGTGACTCGAGCGACGTATGTCGGGCTAATTTTGTCTTTGCGTCTTAGTAAAGTCAAAAGATAGTANAACACTTGCCAAGCTGTGACCGTTTCCGCTTTGTGATGGCGTAAGATATCTATCAACTCAAGATTACAACGATGTCGAGGGGTAACGATAACCGGTTATTGTTTTGGGGGATCCTGTATCAGTTATGATGTACATCAAAATAGCTGTTATAGTTATATTTTATTGTATTTTTTTAAATGAACATATAAATAAAAGAACAAGAAATTTTGTTGAAAATCTTCGCACAGTTATACACCCTGAGACTCATTATCATTATTCCTATTTAGACAGCATTATAATTGTCTCTATATTGTTACTCTTGCTTACCGGTCTCCGTGGTTTCTGTAGTCCATAAAGTGGTGCAGTGGGGCAATTGAAATCATGTTATATACATATATGCAGGTATGCGTCAGTATTTTGCACCCAGCGTGGTATACCGAGTTCAGTTATGCTGCTGCTTGATAAGGCACCAAAACCATCACGGAGTTTCGGTCGTTAATCGGCTTACTGAACAGCCACTCTTCTTTCCGTAGTAGTTCCGTGCGTCGGGTCAATCTAAATAATTTTTTCCGCTGAAATAGATGGAATTCCATTCGTTTGTCTTATTTATATGAGTTTCAAATCACAGTAAACGTTTTTCTGATTGTAAGGCTGCTAGATCGATACATCTTTACATATTATTCATTTCATTCAACGGACGGTTTTGAGCATTTCATATATCTTTCGCTCCAAAATATTTAACTCAAGCACCGTTTTATACCTCCTATGATTTACCAGTGGAGTTTGAGGCTATACGTATTAATCTGCGTACTTGTATTTGGGTTGAAACTTATCTCCCGGAAAGTACGGACGCGGGATGTCCATCGCACCAGCTTTTAAACCCAGTTGAGTGTGTGAAGTCCATGGAGGGTAGGTGGGTGGGGGTGGAATAGTTCTGGCGCAATGAAAATTCCGTTTTTGCGATATATTTGCAGTAAAATAATAGATAATTTGATGAAATTTAGTATTTCGGTTTTTCATTCGGTTGCCATCTAAACTCTCAAAAATGGTGAAAGCTAAGAAAATCCAAAAATCTAGAGATTGCTGGTTGGTCAATTCTTTTATCGAGGGGCGTATGATTTACATCTAATTTACCGGAACACCATATGAGGAACAGTTGAAACCAATTTTACTGTCAACTAATTTGTACTCCTACGTCAGATTTTATGACAAGCTCCACGGCACTCTCTCCCGTTGCGTTCAGTAGTTGGAAACAGCACTCGGTAGGAGCAGCATTACGCCTATTCAGGTATAGAGCAGTACAAGGCTTTCAGAACGAATACATTTATTCCACACGCTCCTTCTTCTCCAGTTACTGCTCCGATTACAGAATGTGATTTTGAGAAAAATCGTGCATTAGTCACGATGAAGGTTCAGTTAGCACTTGAAAAGCTTCACCTTGCCCAAAGACAGAATTTCTGATCAATCATCGAATAACATTGTCCGCTCTTAGCGAATCAGATTAGCACGCGTTTTGAACAAATTTTAAATGAGAGGCAGGTTAGAATTTCGTGTTCAGTTTGGATCAGCTGATCTGTTATGTATATACTGCCAGTTGTTCTTTGGAAATGTGTTTGAAAAATGGAGGTAACAAACGGAACAGAAATGTGCCAAGTCATGATCTGGGTAACTAACGGTGGGGTGTAAAACCACAGAATGGAAAACATTCGTTATCACTATTGCTAACACTTCTGCACTACCCGCTTTGCTTTCGTATACATACCATGCCACACAGCTATACATTTACTTTTCGATTGCAGAAAAGTTACTAAATTCTACCGGTCGTGAGCTGAGACGAGCCCTATTTTCATTGAAACAAATCTTTCAGGTACGTCAATTTGTTTCAGTCCTCCAATAGGTTGCGCAACGTTTCGTTCTGGGCCCCTGTTGTATTTAAAGTAGTTCAATGATAATTAAGGCACTCTTGTTACTTAATCTCGAACTATGCTCACAGGTTTCAGTGATCAGGCGCTATCTCTTACTATCACAGTAGCTCGAAAGTGACCTGTTTGAATCTCCCACCGGTACCTGACTTTAATCTTTGATTGTCTTCTCCCAACTTTCTTATAGTTTATCGTACGATAATGTATTGTATATGCATATGTATATATGTATATTGCACTGGCATGCGGACAACCATGGTGCCAGCATAATAGTGATGATAGAAAGGGGTTGGATTGGAATACGTAAGAGAGTAATGTTAAAAACAATCACAGTTAACCAAAAGCGTCAGTTTTGTTGTTGTTTCTTTCACCGTAGATCTTCTACAATTTATCTTTGTAATTTGTTCAAATAAAAAAAATAAAAAATAAAAGATTTACATTTACTAAACTTATAACGGATTCGATAGGACTCAGTTTTCCATTTAATGTGGGACGAAGTGCCTGCAGTGACGGTTAGCAGAGAACAGTCATTTTCAGCAAGATAGGAAATAATCCATTCCAAATTTCCCTCTCAAGCGATTTGAAAGGTCCAAGTGCAGTTTCAAAGATTACATTTAGACAAGAATGTAAACATAACACATTTATCATTGAATGGCTTTCGTTTCAGATAACAACGTATCTGTTCCATGTCGACATTCACAGTATCTGATGTAGTATCGATGTCCCAATTGTTTTAATGCTGCTCTGATTTTGGTCAGGGAGTAAAAACCAATAGGGCTTATAATAAATGACGATTTGTGTCACCTGTCAGGATGAATTACAGATAGTAAAGTCCATTTTAGTATGTTTTGAGATCACTAGACGTAATCCGTGGGCGGATTTTGATAATTTCATTCGCTTATGAAAAACGCCACACATCGATTATTCTGATTCAATTTTTTTTCAGGATGATAAAGATTTAGTGCATGAATTTGTCACCAACTCCGGTTTGGATTGTCTGGTCAGTGTCGGATCGCGGTCCGATCAGAATTTGCAAAACTACATCCTTCGAGGTAGGTATTCATGGCTACTTGACACCCATTGTTTTCTGCATTCCTTGCTTGCGCCGTCCTAGTTTTGATTCACAGTTCGCTTGATTATGGATGTGTCCTTTCATGTGCCGCAGGTGATTCTCGATGATGAACCATCGATTTAAATGAATCATTTAGGTTTGGGTTTAAACGACCATTGGGGGTCGCCGATGGTATGTACATACGAAGAACGGTGCATAGATACTTTGAATGACTATAATGCGGATATCTATCATGATGCGAAAACGTTCGATAATTCAAAATTAACTAGTGTAGAAATCAGCTATTCATTTGATTTGTTCCTATTATTAGTCGTCAAGGTCCAACTAGTGAATGGGTTCCGAAACGTTCCTTATCATTTAAGTTGTTATTTATTTGGACACACTCACCCTCAGTTGTTATTTTCAACTCAATAGTTGTTACAGATCTTGTGCAACAAAAAGTGCTTGAGGCCCCCGCTTCCTCCAAAAAAGGAAACTGTCGGTGAGTGTCTATTAAGAAGGGAATATTCGTTGCTTCTCTGATTCTATTTCCTGGACACAAGACTTTCGTCAAGAAATGCTTTCACCTCTTGATGAAAGTGTCGAGGTTTTCTGTCATAATCGAAGATCTATTCTTCCGATCTATACACCTCTTGGCTGTGCGATATCAAATTTGGAATAATTCTCACTAGGTTACCATTTTATTTGACCAACATGTGGGGAAAATTCCAGAGTTTTACCGGGTGTGTTTCAACAGATAAGAACCTAGAAAGAATATCTGAATGCATCCCCAATAAGTAACAAATGATACGATTATATTATAACACATTTAGCATGTGTCTGAGTTCAAATGCGTTCAGTTAGTGGCTGTATGCACCGCGATGAGTGAATAATTGATTGAACGGAAAGGTGGAAAAACAAGTTTTGTCGGTCTTCGNAGCCGGGGGTCGTCGTACGTGTGACTTGAGCGAAAGATTGTCGTTCAGTTCGATTCCGGCTTTCCAGTGGTCGAAATGAAAAGACGCCTCTCGTTCAGCCTCAAAACATTTAAAAGCAAAATCTGTCAAACTTTCACGTTTAGAATACATCTAGTATGCAAATGTTTTGCTTGAGCACTATTCGAAGAGGCATTTTGTGTATTTTTCTGCTCGCTTATGTAATGCAGTAGGTCAACTGACCCGGGGAGAGTGGTTGCCATTGTGTATTTCGCTTTGAGAACGGAAAAAATAAAAAACAAATCTTACCTTCAATCGTGTTGGTGTTTTGTTTTTAAT